GCCAACAGTTTGACTGCTTGATGTCCAGGAGTAAAGAAGAAGATTTTTAAAGATTGCATTAATTTTGGTGGTTTTAGCCCCACCCCTCAGGCCCCAGGGGGGCAGGGACCATTAAATTCTCAATTTTTGTTCCCCTTCACACATAGATGCCATATGCTAAAATTGGCTGAAATTGGTTCAGCGGTTTCAGAGAAGAAGCTGAAAATGTTCAAATGTTAACACACGATGGACGACAACGGACGAAAACAGATAGCAATAGGTCACCTGAGTGACTCAGGTGACCTAAAAACCAGTTCATCAAATTATGTGTTTTAGTGTAGTCTACTTGTGTGCAAAGTTATATTACAATCAGACTAAAACTGTAGGAGGAATTGCGTTTTCAAGGAATTTCACAGACATTTCTATATTTAGTAACCATGGCAACACTGTTCATCGAAATCAAATAATGATATACTAAATTATGTATCATAGTGTAGTCTACTTGTATGTCAAATTATATTGAAATCAGATCAAAATTGTAGCAGAAGTAGCTTTTAAAGGAATTTCACATAAATTTTTATTTCTAGTAACCATGGCAACACCGTTCATCGAAATTTAAAACCATGCACAGAATTATGTATCTTAGTGTAGTCTACTTGTGTGCCAAGTTATACTGAAATCAGACCAAAACTGTAACAGGAGTAGCGTTTTAAATCATTTCACAAAAATTTCTATTTTTACTAACCATGGCAACACCGTTCATTGAAATTCAAAACTGATGCACTAAATTATGTATCTTAGTGTAGGCTACTTGTGTGCCAACTTATAATGAAATCAGACCAAAACTGTAACAGGAGTAGCGTTTTAAATCATTTCACAGAAAATTCTATTTTTAGTAACCATGGCAACACCTTTCGTCGAAATCAAAAACTGATGCACTAAATTATGTATCTTGGTGTAGTTTACTTGTGTGCCAAGTTATATTGAATTCAGACCAAAACTGTAGGAGAAGTAGCATTTTAAAGGAATTTTACAGAAATTTCTATTTTTAGTAACCATGGCAACACCGTTCATCGAAATCAAAAACTGATGCCCTAAATTACTTATCTTAGTGTAGTCTTCTCTTGTGCCAGGTTATTTTGAAATCAGACCAAAACTGTAGGAGGAGTAGCATTTTAAAAAATTGTTTACAGACAGACGAACAGACAGACAACGGACACCTTACTATTGCATAAGCTCTTCTGGAATCTGACCAGTAGAGCTAAATATAAGACACCAGTGGTTGAATATTTCTTTTAATTAAAATTTTTGTCAACACTGCTGAATGGGTGTCTTTGTTCTAATTTTGTCTCAATGACAACTGATGATGATCCTAGATTTACTTAGCGTATTGAATTGAATAATGGTTTAGGATATATATGTGTTAAAAATAATTTCTTATACTAGCATTTGCCTTATTAGGTCTGAATTTAACTTTATGAAATATAAAATGAATATGCGGAACTATACATATAATTAATAAATTTTTCTCCTGAACTTATGCCCTGAATTTGAATATAGATTTTCATATTTCACGAAAAAAAAAAATTCATGTGATTGCTTCAAAATCAGGTGATCAGAAAAGCTCACTTGAGCTTTCAGCTCGGGTGAACTAAAAAACATCAGGATAAAAATTAAAGTACGATAATGAGCATCAGAAATTTAGATGAAAAGTAGTGGTAGTGAGATGGAGTTTTTGGCAATGTAGTGGTTATATTGAACTCTCATGTCTTTTGTATTTATAAATACAGCTCTTTGTTAGAAGGTTTTGGAAAATAAGATGTATGAAAATATATTTAAATTTTTAAAATTAAGACAAGGTTAACTAAAAAAAAAAGACTTTGATCTAATAATATACATGATATCTAAAGAACATAATCCATTCTCGATGATTCAAATCTGTATAATTCTTCGTATATCTCATACAAAAAATATAATAAATTTTATCAATCTCGTTTGAAATTATTATGCATATGGTTACTACATTTACCAGATATGTGTATATTTACTAATTATAGCTAGATCTGATTTACTAAATATTATAAAATATTAACTTTTGGATGTTTGTTATTGCCTTGTATAGACCATGCCGTGTACTAGGTGCACTATATACCTCTTTTGAAATTGAGTCCTGTGAGAAAAGAAATAAACTTAACCCCCTACCCTGATTTTACATTAAAGTTCAAAGGAGCGCACTGTATCCTAATTCTTGAACGTTTTTTTTTATGTTAATAAGACCTAGAAAAAAATGTTTGTTTCTGCTTTCAGGCTGAAAAAATTAGGGTAGGTAGGTAGGCAATTTTTTTTGTTGAATTTTTTTAATTACTTCTTTGATCAAAACATCTATAGAAGTAACACTAATGACAAAAGAAATGGTGCTTTCAAGCATTTCTGTGACTTTAATTTATAGTAGAATTTTTCATACATGACAGGGACCAACCTAGACCCATACTTTTGGGAAACTTCACTTCACCTTCACAACAAATTAATAAAATTTTTTAAAAATCAGGGAGATTTCTATGATAAACAACTGACTAAATTTTGTAATTAAACTCTTATTCAAATCTACCTAGAGAAAAATCAATATATCAAACTATAAAATATTGTTTAGTTTTATTACATTCATGATTTGTTTAACAAATTTAGTGGACATATGGGGGAAAGGGGGGGGGGTAAATGTAAATGTGTACTTTATGTAGTAACATTAAGTAAAAGAAATGAAAAAAAAATATTCTCCTGATTAGGCCTATGTTATTGAGAGAATAAAAAAGATAAAATGTTGGATGACATTTTTTGTGCCTTTAGGGTTACTAGTCTAACCTGTCTATTTATATCCGTAATGTTTATATATACAGTTACAGTAGCTTACTGATAACTTTCATGATAACTGTAATGGTTGTTATGATATCATTTAAGTGTTTTAAATGGTATGAAATTACTTTAATAACTAATTACAAAACATCGCTGGTTATTTACTAGTTGTGTTGCATTACTGATTTAGATACGATCCCATAATGATTAATGTTGAGATTTTCAGAACTGTTGCTGTGTAAACGGCTTTATGGGGGAGTATTTATTACAATCTCCTCTCTAATTAATTAAGGAAGATGAATTTATGATGCTAAAAGAAAGTAGAAAGGCGACTGAAACTCCTCTCTGTCTTGAAAAGCTTGCGAAGTTCAACTATATCACCCAAGTCGCTCTTGCACATGTTGCATTGCCGGACAAAAGCATTAAAAAAGGTTAGGATCGGCACTATAAATTAAGGTCGGTCAGGAAAGCGAAAACAAACATATTTTTTTCCTAGGCCTACTTGTAAACAACCGGCTCGCTCTGTCGCTGCAGTCAAAAGTTGTCTCTGATGACGTAATACATTACGGGCGATAACTTGCATTGCTAAAAAAAATTATTCATTGCCCAGGTAAATTTTGATCGCCCGGCATAAGTTACCCCATATTTTTGTCAGTAAAACAGATATGAGAATTTAAATCATATGTGACTGGTAGACAATAATGTTTTTATAATTCCATTTTTACTAAAATCTCTGAACTTGACCTTTAACATTATTTTACAGGAACTTCATATTAAGAAATTGACAGTTTAGAAATGCTGACTTTAATTATAAATCAGTTATTTTATACCCATTTTATTTATTTACGTTTTGTTTAAATCCGATTTTTTTATTTTAAAGAGCTGAGGATTGAATATAAAACATTTTCTACCTTTTTTCTTTTGCAAAATTTAAAACAAATCAAATGTAAATAATCAAATGTAAATAATTTGCAATTTCTGTTTTATTTGTTTAAATTAAAAAACTTGAAAATTGCAGTAATGAAGTAATGAATTACTCAAAATAAGTGCCAACTTTGAAAATAAATTGCAAAAGCTCTCAACATAGAATCTTAAACTTACTGAATACAGTTGATAGTTTAATGTGTTTCAATTTTCATTTACATGTACTCCAATGTTTTCACTCTCCATGAATTGTAGGCACAAGGTGTTTGAAAATTACCTGTGATAAGTTCATCCATAATCAAATGCATTGCTAAATATTACATACACAAGGTTGTTAGAATGGGAGGTACATTGAGCATGATCACACCACCATTAAAAAAAATAATATAAAAATAAAATTTACATTTTGAACCAAAATAAATTCATTATTCAGTTTTTAAATAAAAATTATTAGTGGTAATGTTGCTAGATTTTGTTGATATGATGTAAAATGACTTCAAGAATGCACCTGATCCAACCAAAATTGTACCTATTCATTAAAAATCACAGGAGGGGGTACCCCTTCCACACACCCCTTTCCAGAAACCTGACAAGGCCCTGGTATGTTTAAAAAGTCCAATGGTCAAATGGAATTTGGCTATTTTCAGAAAACTGAGGCCACCTAGACCTGTTGATGATGGAAATGACATAAAATTTGGATCAACTCATCAAGCACTAGTCCCATTACAAGTCTCAATTATGTAGCATAACATTTGTAATTTTTTTTTCAGACTGAAGTTTTTGTGTACCTGAACAGGTGAAAGCCATAAACACTCCCCAACTAAATCAGTAAAAAAAGAAAAAGTACCGCGCCTATTGTGAAAACACCCGAATTAACTCAGGTAAAGGGTACAAAGATTTCTTTCGATTAACTTTTAAAAGTGTTTAAATCGAATACATGCGTTTTTCACCGATATTTCAACTTATTCGTTGTAGAAAATAACCTAATTTACAAAGCCTGTTCGCTTTGTTTGGTGATCTGACTCGCCAATCTACGATGTCCACGGTCCGTATCACACCGTTCCCACTAACCCTTGGGCAAGTTTCGGTCTCGAAGTGAGTTGTGAATGTGAGCTATTTGTACAATTAGAGAACTTCACAAACTTTACGAAGTTGCTGTATTATCATTGAAAAGTAAAATTACACATGAAATACAGTAACTTTAAACCAATATATATGCTTCAATGCAAACATTTAGTTTTTCTTACCTGGAAAATTACTGCATTGTGTTAAATCTTGAGTAGCGCGACCTATTGAATTTAAACGGAAGTCAAACAATAATTCTAATGTACAGATTTCGTGGTAACTCTATATCCGGAAAAATGCAACCGACTTAAAAAATCTTGATCAATCCTATCAATGCTTCACAATTTAGCCATACCGCGACGCTATTAGCGATTTCTTATACATTGTATGTCACAATGCTGACATAATAGGTAACCATGGTAACAATGATATAGCTGAAATTAAAATTGACAGAAGCCACGGTATATTTCAAATTTTTGTGTTTCGTGACAAAAACTATCTTGACGGAGATGAATTTTATGTATAGTTTCTTATTTTGAATTTTGAATTACATCATTTTTCTTTTAAATTAAAAGACAGCACAGTGCGTTTAGTCAAATGTGACACAATAAAGATTATGAGTGAAGTACCTAAATGAACAGCATAATATTTTGATACCGCGATATATTGAACCCGGGTTCAATATATCGCATAATATTTTGAAGCTCAGTTCATTTTTTCGCTGCGATGTAACGAACGCCCATATAAAATATTGAACCCGGTGGGTTCATCATATTATGGTTATAATATATTGAGTCCCCTACCCTTTTAATTTAAGAAGGAGGGGTTCAAGATATTATGACCATAAAATATTGAGTCCCCCCTACCCTTAAATGTAAGAGGGAGGGGGTTCAAGATATTATGACAATATAATATAAAATATTGAGTCTCCCTACCCTTTTTAGGTCACCTGAGTCACTCAGGTGACCTATTGCTATCCGTTTTTGTCTGTCGTCGTGCGTCGTCCGTCGTGCGTTAACTTTTGAACATCTTCAACTTCTTCTCTAGAACCGCTCAACCAATTTTGGCATATAGCATCTTTGGGTGAATGGAAACAAAAATTGTGAATTTCATGGTCCCTGCCCCCCTTGGACCCCAAGGGTGGGGCTAAAAGCACCAAAATTGATGCAATCTTTAAAAATCTTCTTCTTTACTCCTGGACATCAAGCAGTCAAACTGTTGGCATGATGGTAATAAGCATTGGGCCCTCTACCTAAATTGTGAAATTCAAGGCCCCAGGGTCAGGACTTCTGGTGCTAGGGCGGGGTTATATAGATCATATAGTGAAAGTGCATTATTTCTTTGAAAATCTTCTTCTCTACTCTTGGGTATTATTTGAACAAACTAAGTGCATGGTTATGACAAGCATTGATGCCTTTTCCAAAATTGTGAATTTCATGGCCCCTGGGTCAGGGGTTCTGGTGTTAGGGTGGAGCCTTATTGATTATATAGTGAAAATGCATTTATTTAATTCTTTGAAAATCTTCTTCTCTGCTCCTGGATATTATATGAACAAACTAAGTGCATGGTTATGATAAGCATTGATGCCTTTTTCAAAATTGTGAAATTCATGACCCCTGGGTCTGGGGTTCTGGTGTTAGGGCGGGGCTCTATATTGATTATATAGTAAAAATGCATTTATTCTTTGAAAATCTTCTTCTCTGCTCCTGGGTATTATTTAAACAAACTAAGTGCTTAGTAATAGTGAACAAGGAACCTTTTTCCAAAATTGTGATTTTCATGGCCCCAGGGTCAGGGGTTCTGGTGTTAGGGTTGGGCTCTTTTGATTATATAGTGAAAATGCATTAATTCCTTGAAAATCTTCTTCTCTGCTCCTGGATATTATATTACAAACTAAGTGCATGGTTATGATAAGCATTGATGCCTTTTCCAAAATTGTGAATTTCATGGCCCCTGGCTCAGGGGTTCTGGTGTTAGGGCGGGGCTTTATTGATTATATACTGAAAATGCATTAACTCTTTGAAAATCTTCTTCTCTGCTCCTGGATATTATATAAACAAACTAAGTGCATGGTTATGACAAGCAATGATGCCTCTTCCAAAATTGTGAATTTCATGGCCCCTGGGTCTGGGGTTCTGGTGTTAGGGCGGGGCTCTATATTGATTATATACTGAAAATGCATTAATTCTTTGAAAATCTTCTTCTCTGCTCCTGGGTATTATTTAAACAAACTAAGTGCATAGTAATGGTGCACAAGGATGCTTTTTCCAAAATTGTGAAATTCATGGCCCCAGGGTCGGGGATGGGGGGGGGGGCTCTATTGATTATATAGTGAAAAAGCATTAATTCTTTGAAAATCTTTTCTGCTCCTGCTTATAAAGTAAACGAAGTGTGTAGTTATGATGAACAAGAGTGCTTCTTCATGAATCATGTCTGTCCTCTAAGTCAGATGTTCTGGTGTAAGGGTGGAACTCTATTGATAATATAGTGAAAGTGCATTCTGTTAAATAATCCTGTCTGCTCCATAGTGTTGAGCAGACAAACATACTACATAGTTATGATGAACAATTGTGCTTCTTACAAAATTTTAAAACTTGTGGTCTCCAGGTTTTGGTGTTTCTCGGTGGGGGGGGGGGGGGGGGGGCTCTATTTATAAATAAAGTGAAAATGTGTTAATTCTTTGAAAATCTTCAACTAAGTGCATAGTTATGATGATGAGGGTACCTCTACCAACTTTATCAATTTTATGACTCTGGGACATGGGTTTTAGTGTTAAGGTAGGGGTGTGTTGAATCTGTAGAGAAAATGCATTATTTCTTTGAAAATCTTCTCTGCTCCTTGGCATATCGAAGGCAAACAGAATTAAGATTTTAAAAAGCAAGGATATTTTTACCAGATTTTTAGGTCACCTGAGTCACTCAGGTGACCTATTGCTATCTGTTTTCGTCCGTCGTCGTCCGTCGTGCGTCGTGCGTCGTGTGTTAACATTTGAACATTTTCAGCTTCTTCTCTGAAACCACTGAACCAATTTCAACCAATTTTAGCATATGGCATCTATGTGTGAAGGGGAACAAAATTTTTGAATATCATGGTCCCTGCCCCCCTGGGGCCTGAGGGGTGGGGCTAAAACCACCAAAATTAATGCAATCTTTAAAAATCTTCTTCTTTACTCCTTGACATCAAGCAGTCAAACTGTTGGCATGATTGTAATAAGCATTGAGCCCTCTACCAAAATTGTGAAATTCATGGCCCCAGGGTCAGGGGTTCTGGTGCTAGGGCGGGGCTATATAGATCATATAGTGAAAGTGCATTATTTCTTTGAAAATCTTCTTCTCTACTCCTGGGTATTATTGAAACAAATTAAATACATAGTTATGTTAATCAAGAGTGACTCTACCAAAATTGTGAAATTCATAGCCCCAGGGTCAGGGGTTCTGGTGCTAGGGGGAGGGGGGGGGACACTATATAGATCATATAGTGAAAGTGCATTATTTCTTTGAAAATCTTCTTCTCTACTCTTGGGTATTATTGGAACAAATTGAATACATAGTTATGATAAGCAAGGGTGACTCTACCAAAATTGTGAAATTCATGGCCCCGGGGTCAGGGGTTCTGGTGCTAGGGTGGAGTTATATAGATCATATAGTGAATGTGCATTATTTCTTTGAAAATCTTCTTCTCTACTCTTGGGTATTACTGAAACAAATTAAATACATAGTTATGTTAATCAAGAGTGACTCTACCAAAATTGTGAAATTCAGAGCCCCAGGGTCAGGGGTTCTGGTGCTAGGGGGAGGGGGGGTGCTATATAGATCATATAGTGAAAGTGCATTATTTCTTTGAAAATCTTCTTCTCTACTCCTGGGTATTATTGGAACAAATTGAATACATAGTTATGATAAGCAAGGGTGACCCTACCAAAATTGTGAAATTCATGGCCCCAGGGTCAGGTGTTCTGGTGCTAGGGTGGGGTTATATAGATCATATAGTGAAAGTGCATTATTTCTTTGAAAATCTTCTTCTCTACTCCTGGGTATTATTGAAACAAATTAAATACATAGTAATGATAAGCAAGAGTGACTCTACCAAAATTGTGAAATTCAGAGCCCCAGGGTCAGGGGTTCTGGTGCTAGGGGGAGGGGGGGTGCTATATAGATCATATAGTGAAAGTGCATTATTTCTTTGAAAATCTTCTTCTCTACTCCTGGGTATTATTGGAACAAATTGAATACATAGTTATGATAAGCAAGGGTGACTCTACCAAAATTGTGAAATTCATAGCCCCAGGGTCAGGGGTTCTGGTGCTAGGGGGAGGGGGGGGGTGCTATATAGATCATATAGTGAAAGTGCATTATTTCTTTGAAAATCTTCTTCTCTACTCCTGGGTATTATTGGAACAAATTGAATACATAGTTATGATAAGCAAGGGTGACTCTACCAAAATTGTGAAATTCATAGCCCCAGGGTCAGGGGTTCTGGTGCTGGGGGGGGGGGGGGGCACATGTACAGTATATAGATCATATAGTGAAAGTGCATTATTTCTTTGAAAATCTTCTTCTCTACTCCTGGGTATTATTGAATCAAATTGAATACATAGTTATGATAAGCAAGGGTGACTCTACCAAAATTTTGAAATTCATGGCCCCAGGGTCAGGGGTTCTGGTGCTAGGGTGGGGTTATATAGATCATATAGTGAAAGTGCATTATTTCTTTGAAAATCTTCTTCTCTACTCCTGGGTATTATTGAAACAAATTAAATACATAGTTATGATAAGCAAGAGTGACTCTACCAAAATTGTGAAATTCATGGCCCCAGGGTTAGGGGTTCTGGTGCTAGGGCGGGGCTATATAGATCATATAGTGAAAGTGCATTATTTCTTTGAAAATCTTCTTCTCTTCTCTTGGGTATAATTGAAACTAATTAAATACATAGTTATGATATAGGAAGGGTGACTCTTCCAAAATAGTGATTTTCATGACCCTTGGATCAGGGGTTCTGATGTTAGGGCCGGGCTCTATTTATTTTATAGTGAAAATGCATTAATGCTTTAAAAATCTTCTTCTCTGCTCCTGGGTATTTTTGAAACAAACTAAGTACATTGTTATGATAAGCAATGATGTCTCTTCCAAAATTGTGAAATTCATGGCCCCAGGGACAGGGATTCTGGTTCTAGGGTGGGGCTATTATAGATCCTATAGTGAAGGTGAATTTTTTCTTCTGTGAAAAAGCACAATTTC